GTAGTCTGTAATACCTCTCTCCACCTTATCTATGGGACCCAGGGCATAATGCTAAGTAGACAGTCAGTTTGGGATGCTTAGAATGGAACATGAATAAAAAATCTACATTCAGTTCGCACTAACGATGTACTCACACTGAGAAATGGAGACTTACCAAGAAAGACTGTAACAATATGCATTGGAATCATCCGTTTCTTGCGGTCTCAGAAGAGTGGAGGCGGTGATTTGTGTGGTCCGTTAGTCCTTTGGACTAATCACTTCGCCAGGTCTTTGCCTTTATTCCCTCTTCTCTGTTCTGGACTGGGAGAGACCAATTGCTGCCCTTAGATGGCTTCTCACAAGCTTTTACGACTCCAGTCACTAGTCACCAACGCAGGAGGTCGACCTGTCTTTGTGGACCGTACAATGCTACTTGACCTAGATGTCCCTTGAGTCAATGCTGCTGAGCCCAGCTCCAGCCACTTACTCCGCCTACATGTTAGGCTATGCCTGGGAAATTCTTCTAACTCTGCCCTCTGTAAGGCTCCAACACTGTCACCACCTACTTGTACATGAGGGGTACTCAAAAACCCAGAATTGCGCTGGGCAGGGTGGAGCTCTAGTAGTACGCATGTTTTCCCGTTCCGTGAGCATCAAGCAACTCACTCTGAGTTGGTGCACCCAGGTGGCATCGCCTGGGAAGGTGAATTTTTTCGTAAAAGCAGTTTCATTAAAACCCCATTTTTTGTGACGGCCAATATAAAAGACCAGTGTGCAGCTGTGAAATTTTGTTTCCTGCTCAGGTAAAATGCCGCCGAAACTGTTGTGATGTGGAACCCAGCTTACAAGGACAGAACCATGGGAAAAAGTAAAGTATGAGTGATTTTCTCATTTCAAAAAAGGTGAAATGCGGATTGATGACAAATCTCATTCTGGAAGGCTTGAAGATAAACAAGCAGCCATCTAGCTCAGAAGCAACAAAGCCCACATGGAAGAAGCATACCAGCCTGTGTAATCATGAGGTGTTGAAGGGATCAGGTATCAGGCATCAAAGAACAAAATATCAAATCATTGTGAATGAGGGGTAGTGCGGAGTAGGGACCCAAAGCCCATCTGTAGGCAGAACACTGGGAAGGAGGTCCCCACTCTCAACTCTCCAAGGTCAAAAGGGTCTCAGGGAGGAGATGAAACATACAACTTTCCTTTAGTTCCTAAATGCTTCCTCCTACCCCACTATCATGACCCCAATTCTACCTTACAAATCTGGCTAGACCAGAGGATGTACACTGGTACAGATAAGAGCTGGAAACACAGGGAATCCAGGACAGATGATCCCTTTGTTGCCTTGAACTCTTTTGCGCCTTTCACAGTTCTTTTTTTCTCCCCTTGATCATTATTTTATGCTCACCTCGCCTTTATTGTATATTGCCTTGCCCTTCACCTGAGTTAGTGTGTGTCTACTCTCTCGTTAGTGATTTTCCCTCCCTTCCTCTAGTGGCTCTAATCATATGAAGTCAAGTGTCAGGCTTTTCTTCCATGGTGCCGCTGAGTGGATTCGAACCACCAACTTTCAGGTTCTCACTGCCATCAAGTCAATTCTGGTTCATGGCAACCCTATAGGACAGGGTAGAACTGCCCCTGTGGCTTCTGAGACTTAACTCTTCACAGGAGTAGAAAGCCTTCTCTTTCTCCCTCACTGGTAGTTTAGAACTGCGGACCTTGTGGTTAGCTGCATTATAAATGAGGTCACCATGAGTGAGTCAACTCAATAGCAACTATGAACAACAGTGTAGTTTACCCAAAACTTTTATAAGTAACTGTAATCAAATCTCATATCTTCCAGGTTGGAAAATAGTATTTTGCTCTATCTGCTGGGAAAGTTAATCAAGATGTGAGAAGAACTGCCAAGCTTATTCATAATTCAGTGAAGTCATATTCACATTGGGTATACCCAACCAAGAAGTAGGAGTGTACTTACCAACAAAAATTTGTTCCAAAGATCTAAGAATTTAAACTTTCCAGATAATACTAAATTCCAATATGCAACAGCCATTTCTAAATCTGGCAAGAGAAGAACAGTTGATAAATCAAAATTTCTTTTTCCTGTACCCCCCCAAATGATCAAGGTTTTGTGCAAAGATTTTCATTAGATCAACATAATTGGGCAATCTTATCCAAGAGTAATTTGAGGCCTAATTATTACAGAAGTGTTCCCAATAATTATATGTAATCTAATTTTATAAACGTACGGACTTTTGTTTAAAAAAGGATATATGTTTTAAGCTATTTGAAAATGCAAGTATTTATTCTTTATCATTTTCATATCTGAACTGATATTGGTGTTATTAATACATAATTTGTCTTATAAATGGGGCACTGTCCTTTCTAACTGATGAATAAGAAGTTACACATCACCATCAGAAAGGAAGGGAGGTGCTACTTTCCAAACAGAGCTGTTATTGTGGATTGAATTGTGTCCCCAAAGTATGTGTCAACTAGGGTAGGCCACAATTCTCAGTATCATTTAAAAAATTATTGCTTTACTATGTGCTTGCAATAAATTTTTAATCTATTTCATTTTATATACTTGATATAGGCAAGTAAATAAAGAGCCTGAGAAATTTTTTTAAGTTGACCACCTGTTATCATGTGAAATAGAGCTCTGTTGAAATAATTCTCTAATTACATGCTTTTTCCTGTCAGATAAACTAATGGGAACAGCAGATGAATAAATATATTAAACTAAAAAATTAGGTAAGTTTTAAATGCAAGATATCCCACTAAGCAATTCTCAAAAGATTTTCAATTAAATTGAAAATTTAATTGTGTTTAGTCCCCCAGCTGGAAAAATAATTACTAACTTTAGAGCTCTACATTAAGATGTTAAGGTCTGTCATTATTAAAACTTGACAAGAAAAACAGATATATGAGGGACAACCAATTTAAAATAAGTTGCTTATGTACTCCACATATTTAAAGGGTCCTCTATAGCTTTCCTCAATTTTAATTTTTCTTTTAACCATAATCAGAACGAAAACTTAGGCATTTTGTAGTCTGTAATACCTCTCTCCACCTTATCTATGGGACCCAGGGCATAATGCTAAGTAGACAGTCAGTTTGGGATGCTTAGAATGGAACATGAATTGAAACCTACATTCAGTTCGCACTAACGATGTACTCACACTGAGAAATGGAGACTTACCAAGAAAGACTGTAACAATATGCATTTAATCTCACCTAGTGTCCTACTTATTAAAATATCTCTTTTGTATGCTTGCCACCACACTAAATATGTGAGTACTCAGTAATTATCTTTATTAAAATATGTAATATTGTACTAGTATACTTATCCATTTACAAATTAATAAAAAGAACAACCATCTAAGTGACTGAATTTGAGAGCTGAAATTAAGAAAAAATGAGCTATTCAGTGGCTATATTTTTATGGCACCTATTTTCCTTCAATAACCTCTTGAAAATCTTATGTCCCTAGTTTAAAAAAAAGAAAATTACTGCTTATTAAAAGGCTTTACTACTTAAATTTTATGTTTTTAACGTTCCATTAGGATGAGATAAAGATGTCTCCTTTATTAAGAAAGGATCTTATAATTTGTTCTCTTTAAAATTTGTTCTAGTTTTTATTATTTTCTGCTTTCTTTTGGACTGAGGGCTTTTTGAATTTTATTTTGTTATTGTTATTCTTTATATATAATCTAGAGAGGTAAATCTATAGACAGTAACTGGACTAACAGTTGCTTGGGGGGTATGGCAGGGGAGGTTGGGGGTGGGGAATATGGGTAGCTAGTAAAAATGAATACTTGAATATAGAAAATGTTCTAAAATTGTGGTGATGACTGCACAGCTCTTTTTAATATGTTTAAATCATTGAATTATATGGTATGTGAATTATAAGTCAATATAACTGTTAAAAGAAAAGATCTCAGGCAGATATTTTAAAAACTTTGAAACTTATTAAAAAAATTGTGTCAAAAGATTACAGACTCGGTCTAATGTTAAATGATGCCAATTAAAAAATTAAAACAGATAGTTTTATCTTCTTTATTAGGATGACCAATAGTTAAGGATAATGTGAAAAATAATTTGTACATAAAAACAATACAGTACAAAAATGTTAACACACGTACCCTAAAGCATGCGTAAACATGAAGAAGACAGAGGGTAAGTCTCTACTAGGCCGTGTCAATTCTGTTTTGCCGCTGGTCTATGCCTTCTCCCTAAGGCCTCAGCATAGTGCATCACACGTGTCCATCTTCTTAATTCTCACGTAATTATTCAGAGACAGAGCATGTAATTTACTGAGGAAACTGCACCATCGGTGGCTATACTTTGGTTTACAGTCATATAATTGTTCTCCCCTCTTCTCCCTTTTCTTCTTTCAAAGCCCTCAATGAACTTTAAAATTAATAGTATTCTGCACACTTTTTGGGATTTTCAAATAATATAAACTTTTGGTCAAATAACCAAATAATTTCCATGAAGAGGTTACTTTCTTCAACAGTTTGTTATTTGCTCAATTATTCCCATTAAAGCAAAGAAACAAAATCAGTAATAGTTCTAAATCTCTAGTGAGCAACTGATACACATTTGTCTACAGAGATTAAATGAACTCTTTTTCTCAATAGAGCAATTTCAGCATAAACTACAAATCTGTTATAATGTTTATCCAAGATTACATTTTTATGCCCCTAGCTGCTTAAGCATATCTATAAGAGAAAGACAAGCATATCATGCTCCGGGTCTCAAAAAAAAAAAGCTTCAGACATGTTTACACAGATAACACTCATTCTGAATGTGTTTAAATAGCCAGAGAGAAAGAAAACGAATGATGCAAGCTTCCTGGTGGTCATCAGGTGTCACGAGTTGATTCAGCCTCATCAACGGTGCCTTGGGACAGAGCAGGACTGCCCTGCGCAGTGCGCTCGGCTCTAGTCTTCACAAGAGAAGACCGCCAAGTCTTCTCAGGCAGGGCTACTGAGTGGGTTTGAACTGTAGACCCTTTTGGCCAGCAGCTGAGCACTTAACCGCTGTGCTATCAGAGCAATGGACTTAGATTTAACAACCTTCTGGATAGTACGCAACTACAAGTGTATGTTAAATGTGATCCCTTAAGCTAAAAGTTGTTGCTGTTATTATTCGGTGCCATCAAGAGAGTTCCCGATGCGCAACACAACAAAAGGCCCCTGCGTCTGCGCCATCCTCACAACCGCTCCTTTGCTGGAACCCAGTGCTGCAGCCACTGTGTCCACCCATCTTGCCAAGGGCCTTCTTTCTCACGGACCCTCTGCTTGACCAAGGACGACAGGCCTCCCCAGGGACTGGTCACTCCTGATAACATGTCCAAAAAATACGTAAGACAATGTCTTACCATCCTTGCCGCTAAGGAGCACCCAGGGTGTACTTTCAAGACAGATCCGTTTGTTCTTTAAGCAGTCTATGATACTTTCAATATTCTTCTCCAGCACCACAATTCAAATGTTATCAATTCCCCGGTCTTCCTTATTCAATGTCCAACTTTCACATGGACACCAGGCAATTAAAAATACCGTGGCTTAGGTCAGGCACATCTTTATCCTCAAAGTAACAACCTTGCTTTTTCAATACTCTGAAGATGTCTTGTGCAGCAGATTTACCCAGTGCAACGCGTCCTTTGATCTCGATTGCTATTTCCACCAGCACTGGTTGTGTATCTAAGCAACATAAAATCTTTGACAACTTTAACCTTTTCTGAATTTATCCTGATGTTATCTATTGGCTCATTTGTGAGGATCTTGGTCTTCTTTCCGATGAGTTCGAATCCACACTGAAGGCTGAAACCCTTGATCTTCATCAGTAAGTGGTTTCAAGTCCTCCTCACTTTCAGAAAGCAAGGCTGTGTCAAAGGTTGTTAATAAGACTTCCCACAATCCGGAGGCTATACTCTTCATAGAATGCAGCTTCTCTGATGGTTTGCTGAGCATACAGATTGAATATGTAGGGTAAGAGGATACAACCCTGTCACACACTCTTCTAGATTTTACACCATGCGGTATTCCCTTGGTCTTATTCACATAACTGCCTCTTGATGCGTGTACCAGTTCCACATGAGCACCATAAAGTAAAGTTAGGATATGCAACTTCCAGGTCTTTAGAGACATGAAGCTTCCGCCTTGCCTGGTTAGAACTCTCCAGCATCACGTAAAGCAGTACTACTGAGATCATCAGACTACAAGGAAGCCCACGCAAGTAGACAGTAAGAGGCCGCAAGACAGAGCGCTGAGGCATCAGATACATGAGGGAATTCTTCCTGTGTGTTTCAACCCAGTCATCACAGAAATGCCAAAAATCAGAGAACTGCCCCAGTTGAGCTCTGCTTTAATTCTTTACCAAAGGATCACAAGTTCTAATAAAATAATCATTGTTTTATTAAAAATGTTCACCACAAAGTGTTGATATACTTGTTTGTTGTCCTGTAATTGATTACTAACCAAAAGATTGGGCCTGGACAGAGCCCTGATATTAAAAAAAAAAATCATCAAATGAAAAAACTACACATAGCAGAATAGAGTTAATATAGGTAGTATCACAGCATCCTTACTAAATTGCTAGGGCTTCTCAAAGATTTAGAGCTTCCTAAAATGCTTAATGAACCCAACCCAAATTCTCTTTAAGTATCTTTTATTCTGTTATTTGTCCACTAGTTTCTAGAAAAGATCAGGAATATTTTATGAAAATGATGAGGTCAGTTACCACACAATCAAGATCCAAATGAAAACTTCCAGTGAGCCTTTTGCGTCAGCCTCTTAGAGAGAGAAGAGGAAAAGAGAAGACAAAAATGAGAATGTTGCTCTCTAAAGCAAAACTTCAGCTATTGAAAAGACCAGTGTCAGGAGGGGAAAATCCCCAGGAATCCCATTTGACTGTTTTAAGAATAATTAGTTATGGGCCGTGGTCACTTCTTTCTCTCCTTTACACCAGCAATCTATGAGAATTTATGACTGACAAGTCTTTGAGCAGATTCTGGAAAGGTGGTAACAGAGGCAGCACTGTTTTTTAATGGCTCT